GCTTATTCGGGCGTATCTTATGGGTTAAGTTAGAGCCGGACTGTCTATTGTGGTTCGAGCATAAAGGATTACTGTATGGCAATTACTCCCAAACTGGGCGCGATGGTGCCCCGGGGAGCCGCGGCCTCTTTACAGGGGCGCTACGAAATATTGTAAAAGCTTCAATTTGAGAAAATGTGCAGTGATTGGCAGGCTCATCCACAACATTAACTATTAAATATTAATTTAATGTTAATAAAGTGAAAAAATTAATGAAGATACACGTGTTTTATTTATTTTTATCTCTTACTTACGAATAGTCATACTTAGGGTAGGGCGCCATGGAAAAACTTTAATTGAAAAAGGGCGCCGCGACTATGAAAAGTTTGGGACCACTGGTGTACGGAGTAGCATTCACACGAATGGATTGGGAAGGGAGTAAGTGACGGTATACAGAAAAAGGCAGCCATAATCTTTCTATCTGACCCGAATTCACTTTCGTTTGGGCTAAGTGACTTCACGATTTGTCTTATTCGGCCAATAATTGTGGATTGAGATCACTGCATGTCCCATTCGCCTGGATCGGCTTTTTTACTTTTTCAGCAGGTTTTACGTGAACCTCATTGCCCCTAAAGCTTTTTGCCGTTTCCCACAGATCTGGCCTCCTACATGGCCCCGATTAACGGAGGAATTGACCGACCTCGACGCAGCACCTCGACACATCAATTGGCCAACCATACGGCAGCCCCAACATCCGGAGCCTTGTCCTCTCCGTCGGGCTTGGTTGAAATGCCTCATTCCCCGAGCTCCGGTGACCTCGTCACTGAGAAACGCCGCTGGCAGATGCGCTCCGCAGCTACACATTTCAACCCCGAGAATGCTTGGTTGGGTTGGGGCCCAGCCTCGTCGACGGACAAGTATACGTTAGGAAGTCCTCCTCAAACTAGCCGTCTCAGCCAACAACCGCAGCCGAATCTGCATCCGCATCCGCATCCAAACCCACATCCTATCCAGCCTCAGCATCAGCCTCACCATGACTTCCACCATAGCCACTATCATCGGCCAGACAACAAGCTCTTAAAGCTCCGTCAGGCTGAGGCTGGCCAACTCGACTGCTCCGTCCCACTCGCAAGTCACACAGCCTCGACTCCGCTGGCACGTGGCAATGACTTCCCTGTCGAGCTGCATACGCCCAGGTCTGACCAGGTTGGTACCAACAAGCACATATCGGCCACTTTTTTGACTTGTCCATAGTGAAACGGTGATATGAAGATCAAGATGTTCTATTTTATATTTTGGTCGCAGTTTCTTTTCGATGTATATTGATGGCCGGACCTCGTTTTCACAACTTTAACCTGTTGTCATGGCGACTTAGTAGGATGCACCTCTGCTATTATAGTTACCATAATTCTTTGCGTCGGACTGTGGACTTGGTACATTCCCATATGTTTCACCGACATCATAGTCAGTATCGTCAATGAGCCTTGTCGTTTACAGAACCAAATAAAAACTCGTCAAAAATACAGGTGAAATCAATCCCTTGATCTATCTTCTGCCGATAAGACAGAAAAAGAAGTGTTAGGACAGCCATTTCGGTAGAAAGTTGGTCAAGAGATTGACTTCAGTTGACTCTGTCGATTTGTAGCTTGGTGTTGAGAATAACAAGACTCACTGACGATGCCGATTATTATGCCAGCAAAACGTGTGTGAATGCACCAAGTCCATAGTTCGATGCTGGGAATAATGATACCTACTATAGCAGAGAACTCCGATAAATGTGTCGCTGACACCTACTTAGGACCCATGTTTAAATGCAGTACTCTGAAAATTTTGGTTCCGTTAACCCTAGAGTTCATTAAAAATTCCGCGCATGCCTTTTCAGGGCATTCTTTTAAAAAGGCTTATGATTGTCTTATCAAAGAATAACAATTATTATCAGTGTTTCCCATTCGCCGAGTCGAAAAGAAAAAGAATTATGCCTACCCTTCTAAAGTGTGTGCGCCTGCAAACTCTAACCTCGAACATATTCGACAGCTTTCATTTATCTGAGATCGCATGGTAAGAACAGCACACCGTTAAACGCATGGTGTTTCAAAATCCATAATTTACTTATCCACATATAATTTCCACATACTTCCTATACCAAAATGGGTTTGTTCCTAAAAACACAGGAGTTGATCAAAGTTTATACACTGAGTCGCACTAATAACAGAAAAAGATTATATGATAATTGTATTGTTCAACATAATTTTAAGGCTAAGCCAAAGACGATGGTCACGCTCAGTGTTGATAATATGCTTCACTTAGCGGAGAATTTTGCAAAAAAGTGGGTTTCGAAAAATAACCTAATAAATTAATTTTGGGGTACCTTTCATTTCGTTTGAAGAGACAATTGGAAGGGATTCGTAAGTTTTCCTCCCGAGAAGTTGAAAGGGCATTGCCTCGGAGCTGTGAATTACTGTTATTTATATATGCTTCCTCGCAGGTATCTCGCAGGTGATTGCACTAGGCTTTCCAGCTAGAGCTGCATGTTCAGGGTCTGAGTACCCTTCATGATTATGAATTGATCATAATAAAGCCTGCGCTGCAATCAGTCTTGATAAAAAAATATGATTTTGGAAATATAAAACAGATGAGTCTTAAGGTAAAGCACTATTCAGTATTTGCTGACAGCATGTTCTCTGTTTTTCAAGGCTGTGAAATAATATTTTTCAGTGGTAAAAACTCGTTTTTCACCAGAGTTTAAATCCTTATTTGGTACCAACATCAAAGTATGCTATTGTCAAGAATAAGCCAATTAAATATAGGAGACCAATAAAATCATTAGCCAGGCAAATCAGCTAAATAACTTTGTAGTTTTTGTTTCAAATCATCTATCTCATTTGTTCTTATACTTCCACAGAACAAATATTTGTGCTCATTT